TACAAGATCAAGCTGTGATGTCAGATTGCCCCATGGGCAGGAACTGCGGTGGAAGTGTAACTATCAACCAAACGTGCCGCTTGCTATCATCTCGAAGCTGTCTCCAAGTGGGAAGCGTGCATGCCGTACTGACTATGGGCTAACCCATGGCCCAATTTTTGAATTCGGGCCGAAATCTTGATCTTCTCTAAAACTGCGGCTATAAGGGTAATTATAGGCGCTGATTACGAATCTGACGTCCATTTTTGATGGAGGCGCGATATTGCGCCATTTTAGCCTCCTCGGGCACCAACTCGGCGCCGCTTTAGCGCCATACAATTTTCGCCCCAATTCTGGGCAGAAAGCTAATCAGAAAGGTTGATGATGACCCTGATTGTAAGAACAGTACCTATTTTTATCGGCGGTAACATTTGGAGTCATTTAACATGCGCTAACATGAAATGCAAAATTTTGTCATCAGCCGGGACCGATCCCTCGACCGATTTTTCATACCTTTTTTGGCATTAGGAGGGCCGCTCAGAAAAAATGGAGCCTAGTTTTGTACTCCATGCATGTGCCCCTTTATCATGCAAAAAACCGTTTTCAAAAAGGGCTCCATGTCCTGAAAGACCTTCCTGGTTAGTGAATGCTCCGATGGTGTAATGTTGAGGAGTGACAACTGCAACTGTAGTGCTTTATCACAAAAATTAATGTTCTTGTCTCAGAGAAAAAAATCGAGTAAGTTGTCTGTTCAGCGAGTTCTCGTTCATCGCACCTCCCATTTTACAAGGCTATAAGAGAACCAGTTCAGGAACATAAAAAGGAAACAGTACGTTCCGTAGACCGAACAATTCACCAACGAGGGAGACGTATTTGGTTCACGAGGTGGGAGGGGGTCGTAACCACGGCGATCATCAGGTGGGATCGTTACCGTCTTTGAAGTGCATCTGCGAATTGGAAGCCGCAAAGCGCTCTAAATAATGATCTTGCTTGATCCATTGAACTCCTAAACGGATCAAGCTATTCTTCGACATATTGTCCATTACGAGTTCGTGCAGGGGCACTCGAGCCGCAGCAGCTAACATCTCTACTGCATTCAAGAAGAATATCATTCACTATTCCACAGCGCACGTTCCTATAGGCGATTCGCAGCTGAGGATATTTCGTTCGAAGATAAGCAGCGTCCTGGTCGGCCATCCGGATGGAATGAGGAGCTCTTACTCAACGCTTTGAAGTCGCAGCCGAATGCAACAAGCCGTGAGTTGGCAACAACGTTGGGGTGCACCCATACAACGGTTCTCAAGAATCTTCATGATATCGGTTATCGTGATATTTTCTCGCGATGGGTACCACATGAACTGAGCCAGTCCGACAAGAGCAACCGAATCATGGTCGCTGAGTCTCTCCTGCTTCGTTCCCGATCGGAAGGACTTTTTGGAAGATATAGTGACTGGAGACGAGAGCTGGGTGCTTTATGTGAACCATACACGTAAGCGTCACTGGACTGCCCCAGAAAAAGCCGTCTGTGAAGCCAAAAGCAGGTCTTCACGAAAAGAAGGTTTTACTGTGTTGTTGGTGGGATTGCAGAGGGATGCTCTTTTGGGAGCTGCTCAATACTGGCTCCATGGTAACGGACACAGTGTACTCAAATCTACTCCAGAAGCTGCTGACGTCACGGAAATACGTCCTGAAAGGCAAAATGTATTTCTGCTTCATGATAACGCCCCGCTTCTCAACGAAGACGCGTCAAAAGATTATGAGCTCGGTCGAGAAGTACTGCCGCATCCAGCTTACTCACCAGAACTTGCACCGTCTGACTATTATCTATCCAGAACATTGAAGCATGAGGTGAAGGACAAAAAATTTGATGATCGACGTCAACTCGAAAACGAGATCGGCCACTTCTTCTCATCACAGCCATTGGAATTCTGGAAGAGAGGGATCGACAAGCTGCCCGAAAGATGGGGACGTGTCCTTGATAATAACGGTGATTATATTGTTGATTAACCCTTTGACGACAATGCGGATTTGCACGTAGCTTGCTCGTGGGACCACGCCTCTTTTTGGCGCGCCCAACTCTCGCTCACAATTGGGCAAAATTGTCCCTAAAGCAGTTTTTCTATAGAATTTTTGACTTTAACAGTATACCAGTTATAACTGCAGTTCTAGGCTTTCATACTGTATATTAATTTCAAATTTGTGAGGGTTAATACGGGTTTTAAAAGGAAGGAGGGCAAAACCTCTTAAAGTTCAAGTGTTCAAGAATATTTTAGATACACTCCAAACACTTCCTATATCTGAGTTCTCTGAGAAGACGAAGAAGTCCTGATTAGTAATTAATCTTCAGCCTAATAATGCAAAAGCCCCATTTATGTGCTGGCGAGCTAAATGGCACATTCTGAAATTCTACATAAATTAGCTATTAATAAACATTTCTGTGAGCCATGCTAGTCATAGGTATTATGGAATTTGCTTATAATTTTTAGGGTGTCACAAATGTTTCAAATATGCAAAGAAGGAAATTTCAAGGTGGCACACACCGGTGGGTGCTATTGTCGCCAAAGGGTTAATGTTTACCCCCAATGAAGGAACGTGTAATTATCTTCCACTTTGATTCCAATATCTTTCGAGTCAACATTTGTGTTGCTACTTGGACACAGTGAAATCAGAACGATCGTGAACGTATATTACAGAAATCAATTTTCAGGTACTTCAAGAAGGCCAACATGGTGTACCGGTGACGTTCGCTACAATAGGTGATACTGTGTATCATAAGTGAGTCAGAATGGAATAGTTTAGTACTGAGCTTCCGACCAAGATTGTCAATAACTTTATTTGGCCGACGTTTCGGTGCTTTCACCTTCTTCAGAGCCTGGAGAAGACGAAAGCCATTAAGGAAACTAAGAGACACTATTTCAACATACAACCTTAGTTTTTGATGCCAAAAGCTGAACATCTATCCATCATTTCGGAAACGTAGATGACAATTTTTGGGGTGGGATTATTATAAGACAGAGTGAAAGAGAAAGATTTGTGGGTAATCAGCAGATTGATTCACTTGGGACTCCTAGCTGGGCCGGGTTCATACATTGCTTGAGTCTGTACTCATGAATTACAAGTCCAGCAAAATCGTCCATTCTGAATGTTTTGCTTCAGTTCATCATCTTGGTGAAATCTATTCCTTCCCACTGTTCCGGTAGTAGTTCATTCCACTGACAATGAGCATTTCACTGGGTTTTAAACGGCCAGTTAGTTTACCACTCATCCAGTTTATAGTCCCTGGCACCCCAAAGTTTGTTTTTTTCCAATATTATATCCGATGAAAACGGTCCCCATCTATTCAATTTCGATCGGATACAACCAGTGTCAACCGTTCATAGTGGCGATCTGAATTTTTCGACACTAATCCTTCTGGAGAGTTCCAGGATCCTCTCGTTTCTCTTATTTATCTCTTTTTCATATCCTTCGATTCCCAACCAATAATAATGTGTGCTAATATGTGATAGTAGGATTGGATTGTCTCAAAAGTTGGTGCGTATTTTTGGGATCTCATGCCACAAGCTCCTTTAGCAAAGTCTAAATATGTTCAAATAGTCTATGAAAAGAACTCCTTCGCTCAGGAGACTACAGTTCGGAGAAAAACCTTCCTTCCAGAAGGCTATCGGTGTCGGATTTAGGGAGCCTGCGCTTTTTTGGGGGGCCAGTCCAAACGTGATAACCTGCTAAGTGGCTCTCCTGTTTCAAATTGCTCTGAAACTGTATCAAGCGTCTAATTCCGAAAGAGATGTTGTCACTTTGAAGGCTATGCGTCTGAAACACCCAGTTATACCAACTGGAGTGAGTAGTCATTCGCCAGCGCTGCCACAGTAGAAAATCACATTCCTACTTTTTTCATGAATCAAGATCCAAGTTTCATGAATGGAGCTTGGTGAACAATAGCAACGTATGAATGACATGGAATACAAGTCGCAATTCTCATAGCAATTAGTTAGGCAACTCATTCTCTGAGCGACAAAATCTCATATTAAGTAAAACTAAGGACGAGTCAAGTACGAATGAATTTCATGGCGTGAAGGCAGGGAACGGTGAAAATGGGGGAGTACTGCAACCACTGTTTCATAAACAGACACTTCTAAGTCTATATTCAGGTGGTCATGCGAGTCAGCAGAGAAGGCAAAGTACTGCATGACAGTACATTCCTGTAGTGCCGATGATGGACAAGGAATGGGGCAGCAATTGATTGACGGTAATGGGTAAGGTTCAATTTGGACGTCGAAAATTTTATTGTAAAATTTCTTGTGATCGTGGAAATGACCATAGATTTTCTGCGCGTTGAAGGATTTGCTGTCTGAGAAAGTTTATGGAAATTAATAGGAGGCTACAGTGAAGCATCCACCTAGGAGTGACCCTTTGCCAGTAGTATAACACTCTGTTGAATTTGTGAGCCTTCCATATGTCCCGTCCGCGTATTAGGTTGTTCGGCTTATGAGGTTATTCAGAAAGTAATGCGGGTTTGTGACCTCCATTTTTGAAGAAGCATATCTCCACTCATGCTCAACATTTTCGATATCAACAAAAACTGTTTGAAATAACTTATTTTTCTTAACAAGATGCACACTCAACTGTCCCGCCCATGTGAAATGAGCGCTTCTGTAGGCGATGAAATCATCGAACGTCGTTTCCAGATCACTTTGAACACTGAAGTATTTCTTACTCAAGAAGCTGTCGAGATGGTTGGAAAAGGGTATTGGTGAGGAGAGGTCCAGTGAGTGCGAAGCGCTGCAGGCTTTGTACGCCAGTAGTCCAATCCTTGCGGGGTCCTTTTTCCAATTTACCCTGTATATTCTGCGTGTGGCATTACCCGCTCATCTCATACTCAGCTAAAAAAAACAACTCGGGCGAGCATGACTGACCTACGAACTACTTCTCGTAATGCGCCATTCACAACTTGGAAAACACATAAAGAATCGGCTAAACAATGTTCTGGTGTTGAATGCAAGAAAAAATTCGTGGACGTGTTTCGGAGGACGATAATTTCAGGTGTTCTCTTGACAGTTTTCTCTTGAAAAATCTGGATTATGGAGACGATCTGATGGCTGGACAAGCGGCCCATGTGTTTAAATTCGCCGACAAACCAACAATTTTCTTCTCCTGTATGATTCGACTAGAATTCAAAGAGGAGACAAGTGACGGGTGCACTGTAAGTACTTTTTTCAAACCTGATTAGAGGTTGTGCAATCTCTCTCCTCTACCTCTCACCAGGACGTCAGATAAGACAAAAGTTGAGTAAGCTTTCTGGCAACACCCTATGGGGCAAAAATACCGTACCGTGAATTAGTACCTGCCCATGCGACCAAACGTGTTGAAGCCGAGGATCAGAACAAAGTCGATGTGATGGTCCCACTCAAATATGAAGGTAGGGATAGGAAGTGGATTGGAAATGCAGAAAAAAAAAGAAAAAAATCGTGAAAAAAGCAACCACGAGCCTACTTCCTTTATTGCTGGGAAGCCTTGAGGCAAGCATGTAGATGAGAGATAATGTGAGTCGCGGAGAGGGTAAGAGGTCCGATCCGCATGGCGGATTAACATTGCTATGCAAATAGGATATCGACCGTGGACGGACCCTGGTGGTTTTGATGGGATTTGATCGAAGTCTCGAGCGCCTGGCGTCACAGTGTTTCAATGAGCGAAGGTGGCGCGACCTGCGCAGTGTCGGACCATACACCTCTACCCACTAGAGGGACCACTACAATGAGGCCGAGCCCGGACCTCTTCGAGTATTCTCTTGTAAGAAGATGATATGTGTTAAATCCATTGAGGGATGCAATGAAAAAATTGTGGCTTACAGCATGGCAGAGTCGTTGTACTAAACAGAAAACGAACACGTTTACACTATATTTAGCATCCGTCACAATTCTGCTCCGACGCAAGACACGAATCGGTTCCAATCCAGACACCGGATCGCCTGCAAACTAACATATCGAAGGACTTTCCGAAACCGCCTGCAAATGTATCCAATAGACAGATGAGTTTTGTACCTTTGTGTCACACAATCAGTGTAATGTAGACAAAATACAGTGGCAGACGAACAGCTAGCCTAAGCAGCGAACAGATCAACCCTCTGGTGAGTTAGATTGACACCGTCTGATAGCGCCATCAACGGCCAATTGGTCGCGCTGTCCTACTGTTTTGAAAGCTTCTGTAACTATCGAAGAAACATCAAAAATCAATAAGTCGAGAAACGTAGAAGGTTACGAAGCACCCCTATATCACAGTAGTTCTGCTTTCATGCTATTCGATCCACGCATGTGCCCTCCTTTATCTTCAGATAGAAGAAGATGACGATGTTGGAAACGTGGACGGAACCATGGAGCGAAACAACTATGATGAATATCTGTGAGAATGTCGTATTCGAGCAGGAGAACTCAACGATGCTGCAAATACTTACGTAGAGCCCAACTCCTCGTGCTAGTTACAACCCATTTTCAGGCATTTCCGAAAAGCACGAGCTTCCTCTCGTTATGTCGTTGATGTCGATGTGACCGCCCCATCTGTGGAGGTAGTGGAGCTTCCAGAGTACGGTGAGAACAATTTTGGTCTCGCGTACTGACTTCCCCTTCTTCCATATCCCATTTCGTGCCACTAACCTTCAAAGAAGTCCAAACAGTGAATCTCTGCGATATACATACCTTGCTCTTAATATCCAAGGCAATAGTACTCAAATGGCTTCTTTTTTTACTTGTTGATTTCTTTTTAATTGAATTTCATAATTCTAATTCGAGGAATTCAATTACAATACTATGCTTGTCAGGCGTAATCAGATAGATGTACCATAAATATCACAGGTTACAATAGGTTACAGGTATATTTATATTGGGTTGATGCATAATTATTGCGGATTTTTTCCGCCATCTTTTTTCGAAAAGACTGGCGTTTTGTTTATATTTTTCCTGAAAATATTCTCTCTTCCATTAACAGAAATGCTTATCAAAAATCATCTTCATATTCGCCATACATGCTCTAGCACTTCAAAAATGGTTAGCACAGGCAGGATTTTTTGTAGCTTTTTCTTTAGTTTTGGACCTCCTGAATCATCTTTCAACTTAGCAAAAGCCAAGTTTAAAGGTGACAGATGATTCAATAGCTCCAAAACGTCACATTTACCGACCAAACAGCTGCTCCTACAGACTGCCACTTCAATCAGTCGTTGAAAAACTGGCAAACGAACAAAATTTACGACGAGCTGGGTGACTTGGTGGCCGAGGTTAGAGCGTGGATCGTCTCCAAGAATCGCGACCTTGAATCGACCTACTGCCAAGCAAATGGGAAGCGTTTTGAAGGAATGTGTCTACCCACCGGAGTAATCATTCGAACATATTGTTGTTAAGTATCTCCATCGTTTCCTCAGAATCAAATTTGTTAAGAAAAAGCCGCAATAATTATGCATCAACCCAACGTTTATCTACGATGATTAAGAAAGAAACCTGTTAAATATGTTGTACCTCCTGTTTCTGAAAACCAGGTGTTCGTCGATTGCACGCCATGCAATACAAGTGACGACGGCCTTCACAAAATGTAAATGTTCAGTCGTTTCTGCCAATAAAATGACTAGCCGGTTGTACTTGTATTCCATCAGTGGCTACTCATCGCGACTATCATTTACCACTTGTCAGTATCACTGTGAACCACTAACAAGATTTACCTGATGTGATTCAAAAAGGTCAAAGTCACAGAAACGAATGCAAAGCACGGATGACGTTGCGAAAGAGAAATGGTTAGTGTATTTGTTGGGATCGCTCAAGGCATCCCGACGCCTTGTAGTGTTATTAAAGCCAGGGCGAGTGCGATCTCCGCTATATGTCAAACTTTTTGACCCCACATCATTGATGGAGTAGGGCCCAGTTAGACTATCTTATCTAGACAGTGAGACCCCATCGAGAATAGATCGTCGTCTTGAACAGCGACAAGTATGTTTTTACGTTCAACTTGAGGTTATCACAATTTTTCAGCTCCCCTTATGGAACCTAGCACAAGGAATGCCGGGACCACTCCTTGCGGTTTACAAGTAGGTCATTCAGATTTCACATTAAACGGAACGTGAAATGAAATATTTTTCTAGAACCTTTCAGGAATTCAGGAATCTTAAGCATGAGAATCAATTAACTATCCTCGCATAATTATTGCGCAGAATTGTACTATAAGCTGTAGGTCGCTTAGATTTTTTAACTCGTTTCACGATTCCCCGCATGAACTGCGACTGCGAGTTGACATGTGTATCAATCTTGACTCCCATAAGTAGAAGCTCCTTGACGGCTGCTGGGATCTAGAAGAGCAGTATGTTTCGAAATAGTGCCACTACATATGTCTTGACAATCTTCCAGAAGTGAACGATTTGTCTAATTTTACACAGGCGGTTCACCATGAAAACAATTCAAGAACAAGCGAAACACAGGCTTTTATTTGTTTTTATTTGGTGTGAAAGATGTTCGATCAGAAGATCAGGCAGAAGAACACCTCACATCTTCTAACACCACTTCTACTCTGCTGTAGCGCACCATTGAGTGCATAAACAATAATAAATAAATAAATAGATAAATAAATAGTCGTCTACTTAATCGTCCTTTTCTCTCATTGTGCTTGCAGGTGTGTGTGCCGCGACTACCGCTTGGCCTTGCACTGACTCTGTTGACGTTCCTTGTCGGAATAAGTGTTTTCTTTTACCTGGAGATATCATCAAGGATACAAAAATCAGGTACCATTATTTTACGTACGAGTAAGCTCAATCTTCCTTTCTTCATCTTTTATACCCATTGAATTTTTATTCAGAATCACGTTACCGGCAAAGTCTTGCTCTTCCTGATCCTATGCACTGACAGTCAGTCGTCACAATAGTGGAGCCCTCCTCACTTCATTTAAAGATTGATAGCGTGACTAATCGAAATACTGTTTTGGCTGATTGTGCAGAAATGTTCAAACCTCACCATTCCCTGTTCTAATTTCACATCTTGACAAATTCAAGTTTCATGCTAGGTTACATTATACTATACTGAGAAATTAACTTCTATGAAATTATATATAGAGCTCTGTCAGTGCTGTTATAGCTATCCCATATATGGTGCATTGCATTTGCAGTGGGTTCACTAAATGTTTGTGGAAGGATCACATTCTATAGGGTGAGCCCCGGGATTTGGCTCTTTCGTAAGGAGCAGGCCGCGAGTCCAAAGTGTTAGGCCCCATCCACAGAGGTCATGCCTCGCTGCTCAAGACGCGTGTAGACGTTATTCACAGTTCCCTCATCAATAAAGGATAAAGGATAAAGCATTTGCCGTTGATCAATCCCTTTTTGGGATGCGGCACGCATTCTACTTCCATTTGTACATTCGTAGTGGCGTTTGAATGCGATGTGGCCTATACAATGACTTGCGGGGGCCAGCCGATGTTCAAGTCAGTGTTTTTT